CACAGAGGCTGGCAAGGCGAAGCTTGCACGCGGGGTGGCGCGGAGCAAGCTTGCCCCCGCCATCGACTACCAGATCAAGGAGCAAGGCGGCGTGGGGTGGTTGCCGCTCGGCCACGGCGAGCGAGCTCAGCCGTATCGGCACGACTGGGTCATCGCGGCGCGCAAGCGGCCGTATGTGCCCGTCATCTACGGCGCCCAGGGCTGCCGCGCAGAGGAGGAGCAGGCCCAGAAAGTCATGCTGCTCTTCTGTCCTTGGACCACCAATGCCGCAGATGCCACGGCCGACGTGCCCTTCGTCGCAGACCTGATGGGCGGTTGCAGCACCTGGCGCGATGCCCTGACGCTGTGGTTCTCCAAGCGAGGGTTTGCCACGGAGTCTCTGCGCCGCTACGTCCGGAACTTCTGCTTCGTCTACTGTCTACCGCGGGAGCTGCAGTCCAATGGGGACCTCGCAGAAAACAGCGACAACGAAGGCATCGAGGACCGGGTGGGTGGGCGCGAGCTCTCCTTTTGTCCTTATATGTTGGTTTTTGTTGGCTTTTAACAGACTTAGACCTTATACCGTTTAAATGTGCCCTTAAGCATCGTGACATAGCGCGGGCCCTCAGGATGCTCCGGAATGCTTCGACGCCAACGACCTGCAGGCAGCTCTGGTCACGCACGTGCGGGGCAGCGGGCGGGCAGAAGAGGAGGCCGACGGTGCTGGTGGGGCAGCAGAGCCAAGCTTGCAGCACACCATGACCAAGGAAATGTTCGACCTGTCTTCGTCCATCTGGCTGGAAGGCCCCGGCCGCGGTGAGGCGAACGCGGAGGCCGTAGCAGAGCGCCGGAGGTTGGAGCACACAGAAGGCGTGCAGTGTCCCGAGCGCTTGCTCGCTGCGGCGCAAGCCTCGCGCAGCAAGGCGGCGTCTGCCGCCGCGTCTCAGGCCCGAGCCCGTCTGGGAGGCACAGAAAGACCGCCACAGGTCGAGGAGCGACGAGCAATCACAGCAGAACAGCTCTTGACTTGGGTGCACAGCGAGAAGATCAGCTCCTTCCTGAATGCCAAGCAGCACGAGCTTCTGAGCTTGGCCGTGGATCGCATCCTCGTCGAGCACGGCCTGGTGCAAGTCGAAGACACCGCCTTGCAGCGGGGCGACCCCCTGGTTTGGCTCCTGCACGGCGGACCTGGCACCGGCAAGACAGAGGTCCTGAACCCCATGAAAGACCTTTTCGACATGCTCGGCTACAAGAAGGGATTCGAGTATGAGATCGCCGCTTTCCAAGCTGTCAACGCAGCA